CGGATTGTGGTGGACCCGAGGCCGCAGTTGGCCAGTTTTGCCAAGAGGTGATCATGGGATACCAGATCGAAGGCTTTTTTGAAGACAAGATATGACATCAATCTCTTCTCCCTTGTCCAGGTGATAGGTCACCTGATCGTAAAAGGAAATAAGATTGGTCAAGCAAGATCTACCCTCAACATACCCATGCTGGCTATGCCTCAGGATGTTGTCACCGGCCAGTCCGTTAAGAATGGCCTCTTTGATAATCTTTTCTAAGACCTTCTCTGGGATAGAGGTCAGGCTGATGTTCCTGTAGTTTTCCGGATCCACTTTCCTCCCTTTCTTGAAGATAGGCACCACATTGGCCTTCTTCCAATCTTCAGGCACTTCACCAAAGCGCCAGGAGTTCTCAAAGATCCATGCCAGGGGTAGGCTATGATGCTAGTCAGCTCCTTGAGTACCCTGGGGTGTAGATTGTCAGGGCCAGCTGACTTGAAGGTGTCCAGCCTCTCAAGGTTTTCCTTCATGAGGTCAGCTTCAATGGAGGTCAGGGAATCTCCTTCACCCGGGCCTCCCTGTCCCATAATGGGCAGGGGCATCCCGTGGGATGGATGAAAGACCGGTGCAAAGTACCCATTTAATAGGTTGGCATTTTCCTGGTTGTCAGTTGTCCCGTCTGATTTAGCAGGGGTTCAATAAGCCCTTGCTTTTCCTCTGGCTCCCCACATATCTAAAAAAGGACTTTTTATTATAGGAAACTAGGGTTGGAAGGGACCTCAGGAGGTCACCTATTCAGTCTGACACCCTATGGATGAAAGACCGGTGCAAAGTACCCATTTAATAGGTTGGCATTTTCCTGGTTGTCAGTTGTCCCGTCTGATTTAGCAGGGGTTCAATAAGCCCTTGCTTTTCCTCTGGCTCCCCACATATCTAAAAAAGGACTTTTTATTATAGGAAACTAGGGTTGGAAGGGACCTCAGGAGGTCACCTATTCAGTCTGACACCCTACTCAAAGCAGGGCCATCCCTGACTAGATCATTCAAGACAGGCCTTAAAAACCTCCAACGATGTAGATTCTACCACTTCTTTAGGTAACCCATTCCACTGCTTCACCACCCTCCTAATATCCAACCTAAACGTCCCTTGCTGCAACTTGAGGCCATTGCTCCTTGTTCTGTCATCTGCCACCACCCAGAACAGTTTAGCTCAGGGGCGGGCAGTCTGGCCCACATGGGGAAATCGGACCCATGGCAGGCTCTGTTTCCCAGCAGCCCCTGCCTACATCACTGCTGCTGGTTTCCATGGAGACCCCAGCAGCAGCAGGGCCATGACAGTTCAGGTACAGGCTTTCCACAGAGACTGGCACCAGCAGTGCTGGCAGGGCTCATGGCTGGGTGGAGAGCTGCTCCAGAGCCAGAATCTTGCAGCAGTGACAGTATGGTCCAGAGTCAGGGCAGAACTGTGATCCGGTACCCTCGTGTTCTGGGCAGAGGTGTGCAGGCAGCAGATCATGGCTCTGCCCTGGCTCCGGACCATGCTGCCACTGCTGCAAGATCCTAGCCCTAACCCCAGAGCAGCTCCCAGTCCTGCCACATACCCTACCAGCACTGCTGGGGCAGGTCTCCATGGAAACCCTTGCCCTGCGCTGTAATGAGTCCACTGTTGCTGGAGTCTCCATAGAGACTGGCCACAGTGATGCAAGCAGAGGCTGCTGGGAAATGGAGTCTTGCCATTGGCCAGATCTGCCATTTTGCCCACTGCTGGTATGGCTCCATTCTTTTTGGAACCACCTTTCAGGTAGTTAAGAGCTGCTATCAAATTCCCCCTGTCTTCTCTTCTGCAGACTAAATAAGTGCAGTTCCTTTGGCCTCTCTTCACAAGTTATGTGCCCCAGCATCCTAAGCATTTTTGTTGCCCTCTGGACTCTCTCCAGCTTGTCCAGGTCCTTTCTATAGTGAGGGGCTCAAAACTGGACACAGTACTCCAGATGGCCTCAGCAGTGCAGAATAAAGGGGAGTAATTGCTTCTCTTGATCTGC